TGGTAAAACCGTCGAGCTACTAAACAAGGAATTTGACCCCAGGCCTGGTGGCGCATGCCTGTACTGCTCATATGCTACTAGGGAGGGTCTGAGGAGGGATTGCTTGAACTGGGAGGCAAGAGATTACAGGTGATGGTGTGGTTTTCACTGCATTTTAGCCTGGGCAACAGAGCGAGACTCAGTCTTGAAAGAATACGAGAGCAGACGAGGGAGGAGGGGAGATAGAGATGAGAGAGACAGGAAAGAAAGAAAAGAAAGAAAGAAAGAAAAGAAAGAAAGAAGGAAGAAGGAAGGAAGGAAAGAAAGAAGATAAGAAGAAAGAAAGAAAGAAAGAAAGAAAGAAAGAAAAGAAAGAAGAAAAGAAAGAAAGGAAAGAAGGAGAAAGAGAGAGAAAGAAAATGGTAGTAATGGATCTGGGAGGTGTGAGGGACAGAGAATGACTGGGTATCTTGGGTTTCCTGTGTTAGACAAGACTGTGATCCCCAGCCAACAGATCCTTAGAGACAATTTCCTCAGATGATCTGTCTCTCGTAGTGTGATCTCTCCTGCGCCTCCTCTTGTTCCGTAGGTTGGCAATGGGTTTCCTGAAGCAGTACTGATCTTTTGTGTTAGTAATTTCATCTCCCCTCTTTTGATACTCCTTCGTTTTTGAAATCATTCTTGTAAGCCAGTTTCAATAATGTTATTCTGTATTGAAAATACCTCAGAGTGATTTTCTTGATTAGATCCCTGATTGATACAGTACTTAGTCGTCTTCCTTTTTCTTTTTTTTTTTTTTTTGAGACGGAGTTTCACCCTTGCTGTCCAGGCTGGAGTGCAGTGGCACGATCTTGGCTCACTGCAATCTCCGCCTCCTGAGTTCAAGCCATTCTCCTGCCTCAGACTAGACTCCCGAGTAGCTGGGATTACAGGCATGAGCCACCACGCCCGCCTAATTTTGTAATTTTAGTAGAGATGGGGTTTCTCCTTGTTGGTCAGGCTGGTCTCGAACTCAGCCTCAGGTGATCTGCCTTCCTCAGCCTCCCAAAGTTCTGGGATTACAGGCGTGAGTCACCGCGCGTGAGCCACCACGCCCGGCCGTCTTTCTTCACTTGGCGTCTAGGATGCCACACAGGTTTTTCTCGCATTCTACCAGACATTCCTTTTCAGTCTCCCTTGCTGATTCTTCCTCTTAAATCTGACTCTTAATGTTAGGAATGATTTTCACATAAAAATTACTAATGGTGACTTTCTTTCCAGTGTCCTGAAGATCTAAATTTATCTGTAATATAGCCCTATCACTCAACATAGGAATTCATCTCATTTTACATGTGAGGAAATTGAAGATTTCTTGCCCTAGGGACTATTTCAGGAATATCATCTTGAGAAATTAGTTCACATATTGCTTCTACCTGTGAGGCTGCGGCTTTGTCTCAGACTGTTAAAGCTAAAAAGAGCCAAAGAGATTTGCTCATGGGTGGGATACTCCCTCAGTAAAAAATCTACAGTCTAAGCTCTGGTCATTTTCTTTACAGGTTTAGAAACTACTTTTTTGTTGAGCTTACCCAGAAACACATCAAATTTAATACAAATGCTTATACTTTTCAGATGTTAATACTATAAAATGTAAGAACCATTTTGAACAATGAATTATTGATGATGGGCATTTGTGGTTTTACGGTAACTAGAGCATTCTAACAGTATTGAGTGTTCTCATTCGTGAATATGGCATCTTTCTCCACTTATTTAGGTCTTCTTTAATTTCTCTTAGTGATATTCTGCCAGAGTGTTCAGGATTGAAGTTTTGCACGTGTTTTGTCAAATTTAAGAATGTACTTCTTGGGGGCTGGGTGTGCTGGCTCATGCCTGTAAACCCAGCACTTTGGAGACTAAGATGGGAGGATCACTTGAGGCCAGGAGTTTGAGACCAGCCTGGGCATCAAAGTGAGACCCATCTCCACACACACAGACAAAATAGTTAGCTGGGTGTGGTGGCATGTGCCTGTGGTCCCAGCTACTTTGGAGGCTGAAGCAGGAGAATTGCTTGAGTCCAGGCGTTCAAGGCTGCAGTGGACTATAATGGTACCGTTGCATGCCAACCTGGGTGACAGCCAGACCCTATCTCGAAAACATAAAAAATAAATAAATAAAAATGAAAAATAAAAAAGAATATGCTTTTTATACAATTTTGTATTCAGTTTTGTTTTGTTTTGTTTTTTCTGTCAAGCTGTTCTTTATTTCAGGACGAGGGCAGGGCAAGGGCTCAGTCTTTCTTGGCAGTGACTTTCCTCATGGCAGCCAGGACGTTTCGCAGCTCCTCCCGCTTCCTCTTGGCGCGGATATGCGTCACCACCCTTTTCTTTTCTTTTTTTTTTTTTTTTGTGACAGAGTCTTGCTCTGTCATCCAGGCTGGAGTGCAGTGCCGCGATCTCCACTCACTGCAAGCTCCGCCTCCCGGGTTCACGCCATTCTCCTGCCTCAGCCTCCTGTGTAGCTGAGACTACAGGCGCCCGCCACCATGCCTGGCTAATTTTTTGTATTTTTAGTAGAGACGGGGTTTCACCGTATTAGCCAGGATGGTCTCGATTTCCTGACCTCGTGTCCGCCCGCCTCGGCTCCCAAAGTGCTGGGATTACAGGCGTGAGCCACCGCGCCCGGCCTTCTTTTTTTTTTTTTGGAGACCGAGTGTTGCTCTGTTGCCCAGGCTGGAGTGCAGTGGCACAATCTCGGCTTACTGCAACTCTGCCTCCTGGGTTCAAGCAATTCTCCTGCCTTAGCCTCCCGAGTAGCTGGGATTACAGGCTGAGCCACCGTGTCTGGCCCCCACCCTTTTCTTGATAAACTTGGAGGTCTTCAGTAACTCCATGGCGTGATGCTCATAAGGGGCGAAGCCACACACCTCTTGGATCATGTCCCGCACAAACTTGGTGTGTTTGGTTAGGCGCCTGCAGCGGCAGCTGTGCCTGGGATTGCTCATGTTCTTGGTCACCCTGTGGCCCTTGTTGAGGCCCATGGTCATAGGGTAGTGCAGAGCCATGGCTGCTGCTCTCTAATGGCAGCCGTGGCGGAAGGCAGTTTTTAAAAAAATAGTATTATTTCCAAAGCATTTTACCATGTCTTTAAAGGGGTTTATTAAACATTGGTAATGGCTGCATTAATTCAGTTGGCAACTTTTAAACCACTGATATTACTGGTTTTGCTGAACACTTTTACTTAATGGTGATGGCTGTGCTTTGTTTTATAGCATCAGCTTTGCTGTGTTAAACAGAAGGTCTAGTGTTGCACTGAGCCCCTTGGGGAATGTAGTCTAGAGAATTTGGAGGCTCAGTTCCAAAAGCAACATTCCAAATAAAGAGGGTTTTTAGTGAAAATGTCAGTTTACCTTGAATATTTTTCCAGTCATGTAAGTAATCCTCATTTTCTTCCTAACATTAAATGTATTTATTTGTGATCTCTGGGCTACTTTCATCATGATAACAATTTGCTATATTTCAGGGATTTTCTTGTGGCGAGAGGGGACTATTTTTTTTTTTTTTTAGACGGAGTCTCACTCTGTCACCCAGGCTGGAGTGCAGTGGCATGATCTCTGCTAACTGCAACCTCCGCCTCCTGGGTTCAAGCAATTCTTCTGCTTCACCCTCCTGAGTACTTGGGAGTACAGGCGCAAGTCACCACACCAGGCTAATTTTTTTTGTATTTTAGTAGAGACAGGGTTTCACTGGGTTGCCCAGGCTGGTCTCAAACTCCTGAGCGCAGGCAATCTGCCCACCTTGGCCTCCCAAAGTGCTGGGATTACAGGTGTGAGCCACTGCGCCCGGCGAGAGGGGACTATTGGTCTAATCTTGAATTTGAATGCTCTGTAGTACTCTATATTGCTATATGGCTGTGCTAAATGCCATCACAAATAGAATAAACAGTATATATAATTTGTTTATCCATTTCTTCAACAAGCGTTTAGTGAGCCACCTTCTAGTATATGCAGTGGGAATCTGTTATATTCTGGAGTTTCAGAGCTGAATAAACATAGTATCGCTTGTCCAGGAACTTCCAGGCTTACACCTATGATCACATTAGAAATAAATCAATGCAGGCCATTGCTGACACATTCCTGGAGGCCTGACTCATGCCCACTCACTCTTTTACCCTCCCTCTGCTTTGTTCAATTGTTGATAGAGTCCTGGGGACTCATTAGAGCTATCACTGGCCAGTTTACCTGGATGAGAGTGTCTTCAAAAGCATCACCAACTTAAGACAGGACTGATTTCTTCCAGAATGCTCTAAATTTCCCCCTGCCCATTAACACATTGCCAGGACAGATTCTTTGCAAACGTTGTGGCCAGTTGGGCCTGCCCTCCCTCACAACCCTCTAATCCTTGATTTAATGTTCAAAATATTAGCATCCCCATAATCTATAATACCCTCTATTACCCTATGACCTCTTCTTTTATAGCCTCCTCTCCATTCTACTCTGTGTTGCCTCTTCCCGCTGCTTTGCCCCTCCAAAGATCCCCCCTGCATCTGCTGAAGGCTCATCCCATGCTATGCAAACCTTTCTAGAATGCGAGCTCTTCATGGAAACTCTGTCTCTACCTCTACCTCTGTGCCTGACAGAAACCCAGACATCGTCTGAGATTTCCTCTGTAGCTCTCTCAAAAGGATGCCACTCCTTGTCTACTTCTCAAATACCTGGGATCAGGAAATGGGTAAGGATTCCTCTTTCCTTTTCGGGGCTACTTCTGAATCATTGCTAGTATAAAGCCCCTTGGTCTTTCAACTCTGCTATGACCTAGTTATACTCCTGTCTGTTCTGCCCTCTCCCCAATTCCTGGCTATTCCTCTCATTTGTTGAAGGTTTTCAGAAGTGATATTATTAAGAACATGGGATTTAGAGTCAGGTACGTCTGGGTTCCAGTGTCAGGTGTGCCACTTACTAGCTGTGCAATCTTCAGCAAATTATAGTATTTAATCTCTGAGCTAATTATAGTACTTAATCTCTGAACTTAAATTTTCTTCGATGTAAAATAAGATAATGGCAATCACCTTGGAGAGTGGTTACTGGCATTCAACATTCATTCAACTAGAAGTAAGTGGAATAAAATAATTATACATTGACATATGTTCTGTGAAGGGTTTAGGATAGAGAAATAAGGGGCACTCCACAATGGAGGAGGTTCGAAGGTGAGGTGCCATTTGAGCTGAGACCTGAAGGAAGAGAGGGAGGGTTAAATGAAATAAAGTACATGGAACCACTTGGCACAGCATGGGCCCATAGTGAACTCAGTGTTAGTGGAAATCGTTTTCCTGGTAAGGGTGGTGGCAGAGGTGAATGGCTTTCAAAGCTGCTGTAATTGTAAGCTGAGTTGATCCTGGTCCAAGTGAAATAGTGGCATTAGTGCTTGGTGGTGGTAGCAGCAGCAGAAGCAGTAGTTTCTCTATCAGATCAGGTTTTCTTCTCTCCTCTCCTATCCTCTCCTCTTCCTTCCAGAGAACAGAACTAGGGGCTGTAGATTGACCAACCAAGGAACTCTACTGCAGGGATAGCAAGTCCCCACTACTCCTGCCCTGCAGGACTGTACAAGTGCGATGGACCAGAGACAGCTGAGCATTTGCCATGTTCTTTTTTTCCCAAAGGGAGTTTTTATTGCACTTATCCTGTTAGGGAGAGATAAATTGTCCTTAAGCTTACAGATCTCTAGTTATGAGAAGCCACATCCTGACCGTAATCCTCTAGAGATCCTGGACTTTGAGCTGGATTTAGTAACTGGATGTAACTTTATTGCTGTATCCCCTGGGGAGGGCCAAATGCATTTCCTTTTTCTTTCTTCTTCTTCTTTTTGTTTTTTGAGATGGAGTCTTGCTCTGTCTCCCAGGCTGGAGTGCAGTGGCGCGATCTCGACTCACTATAACCTCCGCCTCCCAATTCAAGTGATTCTCCTGCCTCAGCCTCCTGAGTAGCTGGGATTACAGGCATGTGCCACCATGCCCAGCTAATTTTTGTATTTTTAGTAGAAACAGGGTTTCACCGTGTTGGTCAGGCTGGTCTCGAACTCTTGACCTCCAGTGATCCACCAGCCTCAGCCTTCCAAAGTGCTGGGATTACAGGTGTGAGCCACTGCATCTGGCCTCCAAATGCATTTTCTTTGTGGGAAGATGATGTGTTTGAATGTTGCTAGCCAAAGGGAGGACCGTGGCAGCAACTGCTTATTGCCTATCTCAGATCTACTCTCTCTCTCTATTTCTTTTTGTTTTTGTTTTTATCTGAGGCGTAGTCATGCTCTGTTGCCCAGGTTGGAGTGCAATATGGCACGATCTCGGCTCCTTGCAACCTCTGCCTTTATTTCTTTTTTATAGAGAGCCCTGATTTTGTTCGGGGTAACAATGTGCTGGTTAAAAGTAATGTCTTCCTCAGCCTCCTCGAGGCGGTGGCCATGGGGCACATGAACTTAGGGTTTCAGGGAATGTTGATTTCTATCTTCTTTTTTTTTTTTTTTTTCTGAGATGGAGTCTCGCTCTGTCGCCAGGCTGCAGTACAGTGGCATGATCTCGGCTCACTGCAACCTCCACCTCTGGGGTTCAAGTGATTCTCCTGCCTCAACCTTCCTGAGTAGCTGGGACTACAGATGCCTGCCACCGTGCCCGGCTAATTTTTGTATTTTTAGTAGAGACGGGGTTTTGCCATGTTGGCCAGGCTGGTCTTGAACTCCTGACCTCAGGTGATCTGCCCGCCTCAGCCTCCCAAAATACTGGGATTACAGGCGTGAGCCACTGCGCCTGGCCCTAAAAAGTTATGTTTGCGTCCTAACCTCCGGTATCACACAATGTGATTGTGTTTGGAAATAGGATTGTTGCAGACATAATTAGTTAAGATGAAGTCATTGCTATAATCTGAATAGTCACCCTCTCACCATGCATATGTTGAGAGTCTGATGGCCAAGGTGATGGTATTAGGAGGTGGGGAGCTTTTGGGAGGTGGTTAGATCATGAGGGTGGAGCCCTCAAGAATGGGATTAGTGTCCTCATAAAATAGACTCCTTCCAACATGTGAAGACACAGTGAGAAGGCTCTATGAGAAATTAGACTTTCACCAGACACTGAATCTGCTGGCACCTTGATCTTTTTTTTTTTTTCTTTTGAGACAGGATCTTGTTCTGTCGCCTAGGCTGGAGTGCAGTGGCATGATCTTGGCTCACCGCCACCTCCACCTCCCAGGTTCAAGTGAGTCTCCTGCCTCAGCCACCCAAGTAGCTGGGACTGTAGGTGTGCACCACCACACTCGGCTAATTTTTGTGTTTTTAGTACAGACAGTCTCACCATATTGGCCAGGCTGGTCTCAAACTCCTGACCTCAAGTGATCTGCCCACCCGGGTCTCCCAAAGTATTGGGATTACAGGTGTAAGCCACCATGCCCAGCCCTGCCACCTTGATCTTGAACTTCTCAGACCCCAGAACTGTGAGAAAAAATTTCTGCTGTTTATAAGCCACCCAGTCTATGGCATTTTGTTATGGTAGCCCCAGTAATCTAAGACAGTAATAATGGAGTAGGGTGGGTCATTAATCCAATATGATTGGTGTCCTTATCAAAAGACAACATGAAGACACAGACGGAGGATGCCCCATGTGATGGCCCAGGCAGAAAGTGGCATGAGATGGCTAAGAAGAGGGGAGGAAGGATTCCCCCCGGAGTCTTGAGGGGGCGGAGGCCCTCTGACACCTTGATTTTGGCTGTCTAGCCTCTAGAACTGTGAGATAATACATTTCTGTTGTTTTCAGCTCCCCAGTGTGTGGCACTTTGTTTCTGAAGCCCTAGTGCACCCTCTCATCCATCCACTCTCCATCCCAGGTCACCAGGCTCTCATTTTGCCACAAGAGCCTCTAAACTCGTCTCTGAGCTTCCAGTGGAGTTTCCTTTCCATTCATGCTCCATACAACAGCCTGAATGAGTTTTCTAAAGCTCAGATTACTCACCTGTTCACACACCTTTCAGTGGCTTCCAAGGATGCTAAAGATAAATTCTGAATTCCCTTACCTGATACAAAA